CCGTTTTTAGCATTTCCATAAGCTCTGTATGAGTGTTCCAGTTGTTGGTATCAGCACTTTGTATTGTGTTTGTTTTGTAAAAATAACTTTATTGTGGTAGGTATGTGATAATCTCTTTTTGATTTAACTTGCATTATTGGATTTTCAGTGTTTTGTAAAATAAATTTGAATAAAAATTAAGAATCATGTTGTGTTTTCTTTTCCAGTAGAGGACGAAAGCTCTGAGGCCTTGTAGTAGTAGTAGTTCATCATTTGTGTGCTACATAAATGCTACTTTTCAGTTTTCTAAAAGTTTGAATGTTTGCCTTTTACAATTTACTTTGAAAGAGGATCTGTAAAAGCTATGTGAGGATTTTAGTGACTTTTGTGGTTTTTGAGTAGACAGGTATAAGTGATTTAAATTGTAGTCTGCAGTGACTATTGTGGTAATATATACACAATAGTATTGCATGTATATACCACATTTTGTTTAGGCATTTATCTATTTATGGACATTTGGTTTGCTTCCATCTTTTGGCTATTGTGATTAGTACTGCTGTTAACATGGGTGTACATAAATCTTTTCAAGTCCCTGCTTTGTGGTGTTTTGGATGTGTACCCAGAAGTGGAATTGCTGGGTATTTTGAAAAACCACTGTATTGTTTACCCTGGTGGCTGCACCATTTTGCATTCCTACCAGCAGTGAACAAGAATGGCAATTTCTCCACATCCTCACCAACACTTATTTAGGGTTTTTGTTGTTGTTGTTGTTGTTGTTTTTTGTTCTTTACAGTAGCCATCCTGATTGGTATGAAGTGGTATCATTGTAGTTTTGATTTGCATTTCCCTAGTGATAGTGATGTTGAGCATCTTTCCCTGTGCTTATTGGCCATTTGTGTTTCATCTTTGGAAAAATATCTATTCACGTCCTTTGCCTATAGTGACTCTTATCACAATGTTAATTTGGAGTAGATTGGCATCATTTAAGCATTAAAAAGAATATATATTTTTTATTTTTTTGAAGTTACTGATGTCTGACTAGAACTTTGCAATAGCCAGATGTTAATAATCACTACACTTGTATTTGCCTTTGTTTTGTAGATTGTCTTTTTATATTTTTTTTATTATTTTTAAAAATTTTATTTATTTGACAGAGACACAGCAAGAGAGGGAACACAAGCAGAAGGAGTGGGAGAGGGAGAAGCAGGCTTCCCGCTGAGCAGGGAACCCGATGCAGGGCTCCATCGCAGGACCCTGGGATCATGACCTGAGATGAAGGCAGACACTTAACGACTGAGCCACCCAGGCACCCCAGATTATGTCTTTTTTTAAAGCACAGGATTTGGTAAACATTTGAAAGTAGTTGAATGTAAATAGTTATTTCAAAGATTTTCTTTAAGAGGGTAATGTATATAGTTTTGGAGGAATATCTGAATGGGCTGTGAAGAGAATGAAGTTTTTCTTCTAGAGTAAATTATTAGAGGATTAGAAATCCTATTAAGTTTTATAACAACCAAGGTTGTGATTTTCTGATTAATATATGACAACTTGTATGATGGTATGAACTGAGACCATGAACATGGGTGCTTCCCCAAAGGAAAATCAAGGTGTTCTTACTATAAGGTGGGCAGGTGAAAATGCCACAGAGGCAAGATCAAATTTTTGTGAACTGTAAAAAAAGTTAATTTCTTTCTTTCTTTTGTTTTGTTTTTTTCTGAAGATTTTATTTATTCGGTAGGGAGAGAGAGAGCACAAGCAAGGGGAGCAGGGGGCAGAGGGAGAAGCAGGCTCCCCGTTGAGCAGGGAGCCCCATGTGGGGCTCAATCCCAATCATGAGCAGAACTGGAGGCAGATGCTTAACTCTTAACTGACTAAGCCACACAGGTGCCCCTCTTTGTTTTTTTTAATTAAAAATGATCATTTTAGAAAGTTCTTAGTAAGAAATTTAAAAAATGGGGCTCAGGTGTTGAGGGTACAGAAGAAGAATCCATTGATTGGAGTGCATTTAGAAGAGAAAAAAACTGAAAAATATGGAAGCAGAATTGATCATCAAAGAAGAGTGGTTTTAAAGGTTAACATGGAGCCATTATCAATGTAGGTAGCTTATGAAATAGGAGAATCTGAAGGAGAAGGAAGTTAACTTACTGGCTCAAGAAAAAGTTTTTGTTTCTTAGACTTTTTACTAGTTCTGAGGGTTTTTTTGTTTTTGTTTTTTGTCTTTTTTTTGTTTTTTGTTTTTACCTTATAGGCTATCTTCCTGGTATCCTACACCATCACATTAAAACTCTTAGTGTGTGCAAATGGACCTGAAGGGATTAAATTCCAGTTTAATCTTTAATCCTTTTGGTCTGAAAGGACTTGATCAGGGTGCTTTACTAAAGTACTGAGTGTGCGAATTTTTTAATACAGTAGGCTCCTCACTTTCTGCTGTCATATATCAGCTGGATCAGTATTTACTCTCCACTGATAGTAAAGAATCCTACTACCCCTTAAATAATTGTAACTCATGTTTTGATGAGAAAAACAGGCACGGATTCTCCATAAACGCAGTGTGTAAAAGTAACTAAAGAAACATGAGTTTATTTAAATTATTCAAACATGTCAGCATAATGTAAGATATTTTAATATGAATATAAAATATGCATGATATCACTTTTAATTTGGATTTAAATCTAGTCCTTAAAATCCAGAGGGGGAAAGGTCAGTATGGCACTATGAGATGCTCTGGGCTCATCTTGTGTATTTTCTGCCTCAGTCCTTGGATCAGCCATTTCTCCAAAGAGCCTTGATTCCTTTATTTGGAGAATGGTATTAGAAACCATATCTGGGTGCTAGGTATACTTGTTGATGCTAGGCTGTCATTTTTACTGACAGGGAAATATGCATGTGTGTACTAAGCAATATATAGATGTATATCTGTAATATTTCTGTATGAAATCACCTTTATGCAATTTTATCTGTAGTAAGCTAAAAATGAGTTCATATTGATGTCTCCAAATCTAATCCATGGATCACTCTAATCTTTCCTGCAGGATTATAAATTCCCACTCAGTCATTGAGAAACCTGGCTCCCATCATCCACATTCCATTTAATTAATTATTTAATTCTAGTATACATATATGGCAGTATCAGAATTTTTGACTTGTACCCCCATGAGAAATGTTTTTATCAGCTTAGAATATAGTACTTATGTGTAGTTTCTTTGCCTATATTCTTATAGACCTCACTTATCTCCAAGATTTCCAAGAAGCATCCTCCTTCAGAGGTTGTTCCATATATTTGTCATATTGTTAGACTGTCTTGTCTTATCTGCTCTCTTGGGAAATCCTGTGATTCCCCCAACCTCCTGAATGATTTTTTAAAATTTGGGTACATGAAAGCTCATGATTTGTGTTGTAAGGATTAATGGGTTTTGACAAGTGTGCAATGTCATATATCTACCATTACAGGATCATACAAAATAGTTTTATTGACCTAAGAGAATCTCCTGTGCTTCACCTCTGGAACCCTCCTTCCTGTCCTCCCATTCCTGGCAACCACTGTTTCTATGGTTTTGACTTCTCCAGAATGTGATACGCTTAAAGTCATTCAGTATGTAGCATTTTCAGACTGGCCTCTTTCACTTTGCAAAATACATCTAAGATTAATTTGTGTCTTGTCGCTTAGCTTGATGCCTTATTTTTATTGCTGAATAATATTCCATTGTGTGGATGTCTCACAGTTTATCATTTCTCCTATTGAAGGACATTTTGGTTACTTCCAGTTTTTGGCAGTTATAAATAAAACTGCTGTAAACATTTGCATGCAGGGCCTTTTGTGGACATAAGTTTTCAACTTATTTGGGTAAATACCTTGGAGTGTGATCGCTAGATCGGATGGCAAGACCATGTTTAGCTTTGTAAGAAATTGCTCAGTTGTCTTCAAAGTGGCTGAACCATTTTGCATTCCTACCGGCAATGAATGAAAGTTCTGTTGCTCTACATCCTCACTTGCACTTGGTGTTGTCAGTTTTTTGGATTGTAGCCATTATAATAGGTATGTGCTGTGTGTCTTGTTTTAATTTGTAATTTCCTAATGACATAATGTTGAGCACCTTTTCATGTGCTTATTTGCCATCTGTATGTTTTCTTTCATGATATCTTTTTCAGATCCTTTTCCCATTTCCATTCCATTCAGAACCCATTCCATACTGGGTTCTTTTTGTTGACTTTTAAGAGTTCTTTGTATATTTGGTATACAAGTCCTTAATCAGATATGTGCTTTGAAAATACTTTCTTTTTGTGTGTGGTTGACATTTTTATTCTCTTAGCAGTGTCTTCCACCAAGCAGAAGTTTTTAATTTTAATAAAGTCCTAATTTTTTTTATGGGTTGGGTATTTGGTGGTATACCTTAAAACTCATTGTCAAACCCAAGGTCATATTTCTTTTCTTTTAAATTGGAGTATTTTCTCCATTCTTGTAACAATCCAAGAAAAAGTCATTATGTCCACCCTTATTTCTGACTAAGACTTCATGGCACGAATTGCCCTAAAATACCCCACGCAAATGTCATTTTTAGTAAAATATGCTTGCTTCCCCAAATGCTTCTTTTGTTGTTTCCTCATTTTTGTTTCAGATTTAAATCTTGGTTTTGAATTTCCTTTACTAATTTATGTTTGACTATGTTCTCTCCTGCTTTCCAGTTACCCAGTTATTTCCTGTTATCCCTCTGTTGTCCCCATTTTGCTATTTCTTTATGGCTAGAATAGTTGATAATATCAATCACTGTATTTTCCTTCCCTTCTTTAGATTTAAAGAAATGTCTTATATTCTATACTTTTTTATTCTTGGAAAATAAGGATCATGCATTATGAAAAATAAGTGCTCACTAGGGGCTTATGATTTTTTGTTGTACAAGTATACAGTTTACAAAATTATTTGGTATAATTTCTTATTCTGAAACTTAATACTGGACTTGTTCTTAACTATTTGTTGTCCTCATTAAGTTTAATTGATTTATTTTATTTTATTTATTTGACAGAGAGAGATACAGTGAGAGAGGGAACACAAGCTGGGGGAGTGGGAGAAGGAGAAGCAGGCTTCCCGCTGAGCAGGAAGCCCAATGCAGGGCTCGATGCGGGGCTCGATGCGGGGCTCGATCCCAGGACCCCAGGATCATGACCTGAGCTGAAGGCAGATGCTTAACGACTGAGCCACCCAGGTGCCCCTAATTGATTTCTTTAGTAAAGGCCTGTTTAGGGATTCTTCATTTTAAGCAAGTACTTTTAAAACTTCTTGGGGAACTTCACGTCAAGAATAATGGCTTAAATTGTATTTTTAAGTTGGTTAGTAATTATGTGTGTGAGGCTATATTAATATTTTGTTGCTCATGGCACTAGAATTGCTAAATTGGTTGTATATCTGTGTATTAAGCTTAACGTGTAGACTCATTCCAAAAAAAATGTAGACTTATTAATTACGGATGCATTTACTATATGTCTCTTAAGATTGTGTTTACTTGTTTACTTTTTTGATATACTTAGTAAAGATATCATGCTGAGAGATGTACTTGATTAAAACAGATGTCCTAGGGGAGGGAGATAACAAGTGCTGAGGTGTGTCATTTTTGGTAGGAAAGAAAATGAGAAAAAATGACAGACAAAGGAGAAGGCTATTAAATTTTAAAATAGCCTCATAGGAAGTTCTGAATCTGACATGGGGGAAGAGAAGTAAAAGATGTAAGCAACTGTGTGTGTATCTGTGTGTATATCTGTTCTTGTTGAAACATGAGGAAGAAGACTCGTAAGAGGCATGGAAAGCCTATGTGGGTATTTTTGAAACTGCCAAGTAAAGCAGTGGTTGGTACTGGGCAGTAGATATGCAAAAACTTTATATGTATTGGTGGTTGGGTAATGAGTTGTAAGTGTACTCGTGATGAATATGGATGGAGGAGTGTGGTGATGAGTACCGAATGTATTTCAGCTGGAGGAGAGTTGCCTTCAGAGGGTTTATAGTTGGATGAGTAAGATTCTAACCAAAATACTTGAGAGGATAAGATAGGTTAAACAGTGTTAACCTTATCCAAAGAGAAGAATTCACAAGTTTAGAAAACAGAGAAAGAAACAAGCAAATGAAAAATTAAAAAGGTAATTGTTTTTTTAATATAACTTCTGTTTTTAAATAAAATTAGGGAACATAACTTACACATTTGCAGATAATTTTCACTTAGTTCTGAGTTTTTAGAGCTACCCCACAATTATTCTAATTTTCTTTGAATCCATAGTTTATAATAAGGCTTTTCTCTTTTTTATTTTATGTAACTTTTCCCAGACCTTGGGTTGTGATACATAATTCCTGCCATGTGACTTCCTAGAAGTTTATAATTTTATTAGTCTCTCTTGGGAGCTTCCCAGTTTCATTCCCCATCTCACCACCCCAGTATTATAACTAGAAAATGATCTCGGCTCCAGTTCTCCTGTTCTTATCCCATTGTGTCTACTCTTGTTCATGTTGCTTGCCTTGATATCCAACTACCTTTTATGTATAGAAGTTTTTGACTACTTCTCCATCTTCCTTGTCCTTCCAATCTCATTTTCTTTAAAGCTTAGATTGCATGTCTCATGTTGAACGTGGTGAATTGACTTCTCTTTCTCCCTAACTCCTCCTTCGTACTTATCTTCGTGGTCACTGGGCAAGGTATAGTCAAAGCCTGGCAGTGAAAGGGGCTGAACTCGGACTGGCTTTTAACCTGTTGTTGCTCCCCACTGCCCAGCCTCCCTGCTACTAGTGTGACGTCCAGTTTTTTTTTTTTTTTGTTACTCTTCATACTTTCCTTTTCTCCATTCCTGTGGCTAAATATTTGACTAGTTATAGTACATCTGAACTCAGAGATGTTGCTTAAGTTATTTTATTATTTCCTGGAAAGAAAAAGAAAAAAAGATCACCTGAGGATAAGTGCTTCAGTGTGGGGTTTTGAAAAGTTGTAGTGAAAAACTTTTATGTAGGTAAAAGGATTAAAGCACATAGTGACTGATGTCCTCGAAATAAAAGTAAAGGCTGAACGTTTGGAAGGTTAGAATCTCTATTTACTGCTGTGGGAGAGACCATGCAGACTTGGCAGGGCTTGGGTGGGATAGAGATAGGAAGTAGATTTTGGATATGGTAAGTTTTAGGTACCTATTAGAATGCTAAGTGGATTTGGTTTCTGTGTTTCAGTAGTCTCCTTTAATGTAGAAGAATCTTCCTCCCTTTTTAATTTTTTATAAAATTGAATTTTTTGAAGAGTTCAGGTCTGTTATCTAATAGGATGTCTTACACTTTGGAATTAATTGTTTTCTAATAATTAGCTTAGATTTAACATGTTTTTGACAAGAATACAACTTAGGTAACATTGTGTACATCATATTAGGCATTTATTACTAAGGTTGTCCCACTGTTGGTGTAATTAAGTTTGATCACTTGGCTAAGCTCATGACTGCTGGATTTCTCTTATATAAAGGTATATTCCTCTATTTATAGTTAGTAAGTAGTCTGTGGGGAAGTATGTTAGGACTCCCAGTAGCTTTAGTCTTTGTTTTCATTCTCTCTGTCTGCTCCGTACCATAAACTTGAAAACCCATTCCGTCATTTTAACAATTTTACAAAAGTTTTTTCTCGTATTATTAGAAATTAAAAAAAATATTTGTTAGAATAAAAAATAAAGGGCAGAAAAGTTGAAATTATGTGGTGGAAGTGAAGTAGGAAGGGACAGTGTGGAAGCCTACCTTGTTTTTGTACACTTTGGAGGGTGGCACTCAACACAATTGTGATATATAACGTAGCTGTTATAAAAATGTGAGCAACCCATTACAGCTCTTCTAAAACATGAGCAACGTTATATTATTAGCCTTCTTAGAGCAATCCTGCTTAACGTTAATGAACTTCATTTTTTTTCTTACAGGTTTAAATGTAATACTGGATATTTATTTCTTTTAAGGTAAGTTTTTTCTTTTCTTTTTTTTTGAAACATTACTATATTAAATTTGTTATCCACGTAGTTTGTCTAGAAAGTAAATTTCTGTTACTAAAATTGGATCACTGATTTATTTATCACCTGGGCTTAATGGGCTTTGTCTGTTACAGAGAAGAAAATTGTCTTCAGGAGAATGATTGTTAACTGCACATATAGCACCCAGTAACATGATGCCCAGCGGCTGGATGCTGAAGAAGATTGGTAGGTTGTCATGGGACCTTGGATTTACACGTTTCTGGTACATCTCAGTGTTCAGAATTGCTTAGGTTTGCCTGGGGACCCTTGAGCTTTGGGCTGAATATTAGTTTCCTAGGGCTGCTGTAGCAAAGTGCCACGCACTGGGTGGCTTAAAACAATAGGAACTTATTCTCTCCCAGTTCTGGAGGCTAGATGTCCAAAATAAAGGCGTTGGCAGAGCCGTGCTCCCTCTATGAAGGCCTCTTCCTAGCTTGTGGTAGCTGCTGGCAGTCCTTGGGCTTCCTTGCTTACGGCTGCTTCACTCCAGTTTCTGCCTCTGCCTTCATGTAGCCTTCTTCCCTCTCTGTGTCTCCTCTCCCTGCCTCCAATCCCCCTCTTTTTATAAAAACACCAGTCACTGGATTTTGGTTTCACTCTAATCACGTATGACCTCACTTAAATTGATTATATCTGCAAAGATCCTATTTCCAAATGAGGTCACATTCACAGGTCCTGAGGTTAGGACTTAAACATCCTTTTTTGGGAAACACAGTTCAGCACAACACATTCAAGGTTGGGGCTTGACTTGAGTTATAGCAATATCGAGAGGCTGTGATCACTTTGAAGCTTGAGTACTGTGTTCTCTGAAGTACTAAACTGTTTTGGAATTGGTAGAGAAACAAAAATGAATCCCTAGATTTCTCAAGCCAGTTTAGAGCTATTTCTATAATAGACTTTGGCAGAGGGGGTGAGAATTTTTAACATATACAGATAAAAAGACTGGTTATTTATTTGCATTTGTGGGATTCAGTCTGACAAGAATTGTGGCCCTCCTGAGGTAGACATAAGAGGGAAACAGCTAGGAGTTTTCTTTGTGTGCATACTTTGCCTAACAATAACAGTGCTGTCCTTTTTATCTGTTAGGAAAGGAAACTTGTATAATTGGGTAATTTTTTTTAATGTCATTAATACCCTTGAGTATTTTAGAAAATAAAGGGTACAGGATTATTGAAATTCAGCTTCACCTTCAAAGAAGGTCTTAGATAAGCAAACGTAGCTCAGTGAACCTAGCTCAGTGCCTGGCCCTTGGTAAGTGCATAATACGTATTTGTTATTAGCCTAAGAAAGTGAAGGAGGTTTGAGGTAGTTATGAAAAGAAGGAAAATTCTCACCTCTTATTTTCTGGATATTTTCTGTCTGGCTGGTAGGGTATTTACTATTCCAGTAATTGGTTTGGTTTTGTTCATAAATGACTAGGAAATATAGATTACAGTTAGAGTGTTTTTAATATAGGACAATACATATGATATTAGACACATGCTTACTTTCTGGGGTTTGAGATTTGAAGGTAATATTCTTTAAGTGCCTGTATTATATGATGCTTTTGAATAAATCTTAAAAATCCAGGCTGTGTTAATGGTTTCTTCATTCTTTTCCTCCACTTAAATAAAAATAGCTCTGTTAATACAACAAGCTGTAAAGCCATAATGTGGCATACCATCCTGTTTGAGAGGTGAACATTGTTGAATAAAAATGGCTGACAGAAGTGGGAAGATTATTCCAGGACAAGTGTATATTGAAGTGGAATATGATTATGAATATGAAGCCAAGGACAGAAAGATTGTGATAAAACAAGGGGAACGATACATCTTGGTGAAAAAGACCAATGATGACTGGTGGCAAGTCAAACCAGATGAGAACTCCAAGGCGTTCTATGTGCCAGCCCAGTATGTTAAGGAGGTCACCCGCAAAGCTCTCATGCCCCCTGTTAAACAAGCAGTTGGACCACCGAATAATTCTATGAAAATGATACAGAGTCTCCATCTTCAGAGGTCAACAGAAAATGTGAACAAGTTGCCTGAGCTTTCAAGTTTTGGAAAGCCATCATCATCTGTTCAAGGACCGGGTCTTATTCGTGATGCAAATCAGAATTTTGGACCCAACTATAATCCAGGTCAGACTGTGAACCTAAGCCTGGACCTGACCCATAATAACGGAAAGTTTAACAGTGACTCACATTCTCCTAAAGTTTCTGGCCAGAATAGGACGCACTTATTTGGTCACTTTCCCGGCCCGGAGTTCTTGGATGTAGAGAAAACTAGCTTCTCCCAGGAACAGTCTTGTGATTCAGCAGGAGAAGGCTCGGAAAGAGTACATCAGGATTCTGAGTCTGGCGATGAACTTAGCAGCAGCTCCACTGAACAGATAAGGGTAAGATGAAAAGTAGAATGATGGAACACTTAACGCCACCATAACAAAAATGCTACAGATTTTACTTAAAATCTTTGTAGGAGTTAGGAATTATTTGTTTTGCTTTGTTTTTAGAATACACGGGTTCTATCCTGATTTAATGAGGTGGAGAATAGTGTAATAACTTGTGGAGTTCATAAAGGCTGACCTTATGGTTTCTTTTTTTTTTTCTCTCTCTTAATCCTGCATAGGGTAGGAAGGATTTACTTAACTTACCCAGTGATGATATTTCTTTTACTAGACAAAGTCTTTTTTCTAACTGTACTCATTTTGACTGGTTTCCGGTAAGTTTTCAGGTAATAATGGGCATATGAGGAAAGATATCCCTGGAATGTTAGCTACTTGTTCTTTGAAACTGATTTATTAACCTTGAATATTTAAAAAGATACAGAGCTCACAAATCTTTACCTTCATTCTTGCACTTTTGTGTCTTAAGTGTCTAAATATATACACTTGCTTGACTGGAACATTAGCCTGAAAAAAATTTTGTGTCCACGGTTTGATTCCCCGCCCTCCCCTTACCTAACTTTATTTTGAGATTAGTTTATACGTGTTTGTCAAGTCAAGTGGAATAATTTTAAAAGCAAATGCGGGAAATTGAACTTGAATGTATTTAGATAAGTCTAAGTGAAATTGAAAATTGATAAATTTTTGGCCTAAAGCTCTTTTATAAGATTTATTCATCAAGTTAAGTCAGTATTTGTGAGGCTGCTCTTAGATGTGGTCTGATTGTAATGAAACCAGTTTGTTCTTCCTGTAGCTTTTAATTTTTCTTGTGACATTTTGAATGAAAATAAGGAAAAGGAAAGATTCTCTAGAGAAACTTCTGATGTTTGAGATTGAGGCAGTTACATGAAGTAGCACTATCAGTTTACCATCATGTGGCTTAGCAGGCTTCTGTTTTTTTTAGTCTTTATGTGATACTTTGACATAGGATATGTAATGTTTCCTGGAATTTTTCTGTTCATGCTCTTTATTGAACTAGTGGGACCTGGGAAAGATGTATTTTCTGTTACCAGTAACCATCACTGTCACTGCACACTTCAGATTACGTTTTATATTTAGATACACTAGCAGTCCTGGCTTCTCTTCATCATGCTCATCTTAAATTCACTGCATGGAACTTCATGGCTCCTAACCTCTCCGGAGCCCTTAACACTGGAAATCCTGTGAGATCTCTCTAGCAGGTCCTTTTCCTAATTCGTCACGGCAAGTGTTTTAAAACTTTTTCATTTCTTTCAATTTTCTCTCATTCACCTGTTTTTCCCTGCTCTCTTATCTCAGATAACCTTGCCTTCTATCTCACAGTCTAAATAAAAGCTTTGGGATGGAAACTCTTTGGCTTTGGGGAGGATGTATTGCACAGCAGTTGGTAGTGCTGGCTTTAGATTTGGATTTGATTCCATACCACTTACCAGCTGTGTCATAATTGGGGCAAAGTACTTAACCTCTGTGTGTCTCAGTTTCTTCATTTTAAGTTGGGGATCACAGGGTTGTTGAGAATTGAGAGGGTTACTATATCTAATATACTTAGAGCTATGCCCTGTGCATGAATGCATTATGTATCTATTGCTACTTGATAAATTACTCTTATGTCTAGTGGCTTTTTTTTTTTTTTTTTTTAAAGATTTTATTTATTTGACAGAGAGACACAGCAAGAGAGGGAACACAAGCAGGGGGAGTGGGGGAGGGAGAAGCAGGCTTCCCGCCGAGCAGGAAGCCCGATGCGGGGCTCGATCCCAGGACCCTGGGATCATGACCCGAGCCAAAGGCAGATGCTCAACGACTGAGCCACCCAGGCGCCCCAAGTCTAGTGGCTTAAAACAGTAAACATTATCTCAGTTTCTGTGCTCAGTAACTCAGAAGCAGGTTAATTGAGTAGTTTTAAAGGCTTGGTGTCTCATGAGGTTATAGTCTTATGAAGGCTTGGCTGGGGCGGGAAGCTGCTTCTGAGATGGCTCACTCACAGGGAGCTAGTTGTGCCTTGTGAAGAATGATGCTTGAATGATGTAGACCAGCTTTCCCTCAGAAGGAGCAGTCCAAGATGGAACAAGGCATTGTCTTTTAAAAGCCAGAGTCTTGGAAGTCACACACTGTCGTTTCCTATTGGTTACACATTTCAGCTGTATTCTGTATGGGAGGAGACAGCATAGGGATACGAATGTCAGGAGAGGAGGATCATTGGGGGCCATCTCGGGGCTGGCTAGCATAGTGAGTATTCAGTACTTACTTACAAAGAGAGCTGTTGTCGTTGTTTCTGTTGTTACTTATTGTTATTTCCCCCATCAAATCTATAAGCACACCTATATCAGCAGTTCCCTTTCCCTTTTCTTGTACAGTGCAAGCATTGCCTCTCTTATCCAAGGGCAGTCTCTTCAGATCTGCTTTCCCCCATTTTTCACAAACCTTTTGCTAAAGATTATGCAGCATTGTGCTCATATGGCTTTAGACTGATTATTTACCATGTTTTCTCCCTTATCATTTAAATCTGCTCATGTTTTTCCCATTTTAGTAAAGCTTTTCAACAATACCTTCCCCTCTGAGTATCACTTTATCCCCCTTTCCCTTTACTGGCAACTTCTGGAAAGAGTTGTATATATTTGCTTCTCTACATTTCATCATTTTCTACTCACTCCTTAACCTATTCTAGTAGGGCTTCTGGCTCCAACATTATATCTAAACTGCTTCTGCTAAAGGTACTCATTGTTAAATTTACAGACAATTGAGAACATTTATACATAGTGTCATCATCACAGTGAATAAGATTAATAACACATGGCAATTTAAAATAATCTTTTATTGAGGCCTTGCATACAATCCAGTGGAGTAGTCCTAAATGCATGACTTGATGGATTTGCACTTATGTATACACCTCTGTACTAACCTTGAGTCCTTCCCAGTCAGTATCTACTCCCTTCCCCCTTCATGTTTCTGTTAGGATATTTTCATTTTTCTGACTTACATTGCCAGAAAACTATGCTGTAATATCATAATCAAGATACTGGCATTTGTACAGTCTAGATACTGAGCATTTCTTTTTTTTTATTTTTTTATTTTTTTAAAATTTTATTTATTTAAGAGAGAGAGAGACAGAGATAGTGAAAGCACGAGTGGGGAGGAGAGGGAGAAGCAGGCTTCCAGCTGAGCAGGGAGCCCGATGCGGGGCTCGATCCCAGGACCCCCGGGATCATGACCTGAGCTGAAGGCAGACGCTTAAATCGACTGAGCCACCCAGGCGCCCCTAGATAACTGAGGATTTCTGTCACCACAAGCATCCTTTATGTTGCCCTTTTATAGCCACATCTTCTTCCCTCCCATGCCTTTCCCTCCTTAACCCCTGGCCACCACTAATTTGTTTTCCATCTTCATAATTTTGTCATTTCAAGAATGTTATATAAATGGAATCATATGCTATATACCTTTAGGGATTGGCTTTTCCATCAGCATAATTCTCTGGAGATTGATCCAGTTGATTGTGTATTTTGTTGTTTTTGTTGTTGACTAGACTTCTGTGGTCTGGATGTACCACACTTCATCTCACCGTTAACCCATTGAAGAACATCTAGGTTTCCAGTTTCTTGCTCTTGAAAGCAAAGCTGCTATATATATATACATTTCTGCACAGTTGTTGGGTGAACATAACTTTTCATTTGTCTGGCATAAGTGCCCATGAGTATTGCTAATGATATGGTAGATGCATGTTTAACTTTTTGAAGGAACTGCCAAACTGTTTTCCAGAGTGGCTATACCATTTATATTCCTACCAGCAATGTCCATGATCCAGTTTCTCTGCATGCACATCAACATTTGTCATTTTTTTTTTAAGCCATTCTGATGATTTGTAATAATATCTTGTGTTTTGATTTGCATTTCTAATAGCTAATGAAAATCTTTTCATATGCTCATTTGCCATAAATAGATCCTTTCCATTGAAATGTCTTTTGTCCATTTTTTTCTCTTCTATTTTTTTTTAATATTTTATTTACTATAGTGTGAGCAAGAGGAGGGGCAGGGGGAGGGAGAGTATCTCAAGCAGACGCCGTGCTGAGTGCAGAGCCCAAGACAGAGCTCAATCCCATGACCCTGAGATCATGACTTGAGCTGAAACCAAGAGTCCTGATGCTTAACTGACTGAGCCACCCAGGTGCCCCCTTTTACCCATTTTGTAATTGGACTGTTTGTTTTTGTACTCTTGAGTTTATTCAGTTCTTTATGTAGTCTAGATACTAGTCATTTGTCAGATACATGGTTTGGAAATGTTTTCTCCCAGTGTATACCTTGTCTTGTCCTCTTAACAGCATAGCTGTTTTATTTATTTATTTATTTATTTATTTATTTATTTATTTATTTATTTATTTATTTTTAAAGATTTTATCCATTTATTTGAGAGAGAGAGAATGAGAGAGAGCACATGAGACGGGGGAGGGTCAGAGGGAGAAGCAGACTCCCTGCCGAGCAGGGAGCCCGATGCGGGACTCGATCCAGGGACTCCAGGATCATGATCTGAGCCGAAGGCAGTCGCTTAACCAACTGAGCCACCCAGGCGCCCCCAGCATAGCTGTTTTAGTCAGGTCTCCAGAGAGACAGCACCAGTAGGGTGTATGTATGTATCTACACACATACACACACGTATACATTATATAGAGAGACAGATTTATTTTTAGGAATTGGCTCATGTGATTATGGAGATTGAAAAGTCCAAGATCTGCAGAGCGGATGGTAGGCTGGAAACCCAGGGAAGAGCCAGTATTGAAATTCAAATTCCAAGGTTGTCTGCTGGCAGAATTTATTCTTGCTTTGGGGAAATTAGCCTTTTGTTCTGTTCTGGCCTTCAGCTGATTTGAGGAGGCCCACCCATGTTATGGGGAGCAATTTAATTTACTCAAAGTCCACTACTTAAATGTTAATTGCATCCAAAAAACACCCTCGCAGAAACATCCAGACTAATGTTCCACCAAACA